TGCCATGGACGCAGAGATGGCCTCCTACAGATCCACAGGCACCTACGTCGATGAGGTTCCCCCCCCTGGGGCGAACGTAGTCGACGGCATGTGGATCTACAGGGTGAAGCGGCCACCGGGATCTCCCCCGGTCTTCAAGGCGCGCTACGTGGCTAGAGGTTTCAGTCAGCGCGAGGGAGTTGACTTCTTTCAGACCTTCGCACCTACCCCGAAGATGACCACTCTTCGGGTGTTACTACACGTAGCAGCACAGAGAGACTACGAGTTACACTCTCTTGACTTCTCCACTGCTTTCCTTCAGGGCAGCCTACACGAGGAGGTCTGGTTGCGTCGTCCCTCGGCCTTCACTGGCACCTTCCCTCCTGGGACCCAGTGGAGGCTGAGGCGACCTGTTTACGGTCTTCGCCAGGCCCCTCGTGAGTGGCACGACACTCTGCGTTCTACCCTCTCTGACCTTGGGTTCCAGCCGTCTTCTGCCGACCCGTCGTTGTTCGTTCGTCGTGGCTCCACACCGTTCTTTGTTCTGGTCTACGTCGACGACCTCGTTTTCGCCACTTCGGACAGGGTTGCTTTGGCAGACGTGAAGTCCAAACTGCAGAAGAGACACACGTGCACTGATCTTGGTGAGCTGCGCCACTACCTTGGCCTGCAGATCACCAGGGACAGAGCCGCTCGCACCATTACACTCTCACAGTCACACATGGTGCAACAGGTCCTTCAGCGGTTCGGGCTTCAGCACTCCACCGTACAGCGCACACCTCTAGCTGTTGACCACAGACTCACTGGTCCCTTTCCTGACGAGCCGTTTGAGCCTAGTGGTCCCTACGCAGAGCTTGTGGGTTGCCTCATGTACCTGATGACTTGTACTCGCCCGGACCTCGCCTTCCCTCTCAGCATCCTTGCGCGCTTTGTTGCGCCAGGGAGACACCGTCCTGTTCACTGGACGGCAGCTGTGAGGGTGGCGAAGTACCTAGCGACTACATCAGGCGTGGGGCTAGTTCTTGGAGGGCAGCAGTCTGTCGTACTCACTGGTCACTGTGACTCCTCTTACGCTGACGACGCTGAGACTCACAGGTCTACTCAGGGGTACTGTTTCAGTCTGGGTTCTGGAGCTGTTTCCTGGCGTTCCACGCGCTCCTCTTCTGTCTCGACCTCTACAGCTGAGGCTGAGATTTACGCTGGTGCCATGGCGGCACAGGAGTTGCGTTGGTTGACCTTCTTGCTCGCCGACCTTGGTGAGCGGCCGAGCTCTGCACCGACCTTGTTTACTGACAACAAGGCGTCGATCCTCCTCTGTCGTGAGCCGCGACTGGAGAGCAGAGTGAAGCACATTCACGTCAGGTACTTTCTTCTGCGAGAGTTGCAGAGGCGTGGACAGGCTCGCTTCGAGTTTGTAGAGTCCGAGGCCAACACTGCAGACATCTTCACCAAGGCGCTTCCGCCTTGTGACCACCAGAGGTGTTGTGTGCAGTTAGGCCTTGTTGACACAGGTTCTAGTCATGCGTAGACTTGAGTTTATTGCCTGCTTCGTCTGTACACTTACTATATATACTTGTGATCTCTTGGACTGGCCTTGTGGCCACTGTTGCTTGTGCTCAGAGTGTGTGGTGACGTTGTGATCCACCCTGAGCTTTGTTTTCTTTTGGACTGGTCTTGTGACCGTACTCTTTTTTGTTTTTGCTAGACACCCCTCACTTAGGCTATGGGGGTGTGTCAAATGTTGTAGCCTGTAGTGAGGTTTGTCTTAGGGGGTACAGAAGTTAGGGTTTGTCATATGTACCCCAACCAACATCAATGCAACATCCATTCCTCATTCTGACAAATGAATACCCTGGCCTTTTTTGGGTTGCGTAGCAACCTTATACATTCGTTTTCACTTTTCGGTTGGCTGACGTGAACAGTGAATTTCTCCCATCAATTTTGAAACAAGTCACTGTTCACCAACTTCCGGAAAAATGAAAACAAATGTTTCCAATCATTCCAAAATCGTCGATAAGTACGGCGAATGGAACAATTGGACAATCTTTCTAGCACTAATGACGATACCAAATGACACACGAACACAAGGACAGAACCACCGAAAGACACACATACACAAATGGTCACAAAAGCAGCCGGGTACAAGAACCGTCGTACATGTTTTGGGGGGAATGCAAAATGCATCGATGCAGCAATTGAGGTTGATATGGTACGGAAGAGGCGAGCAAAGCTGCCCCACCGACGATCACAATCTCAGTTGCATACACGAGGCACTCGCACACTCCCAAAACAAGCACATGCGATAACACACACAAACTGGTACAGAAACAGATAACGATTGAGAATGTTTCAACGCGAATACTAAATGCATCAATGCTGCAACTAAGATTGATATGGTACGGAAGAGGCTAGCAAAGCTGCCCCACCGACGATCACAATCCGAGTTGCATTCACGAGGCACTTAGCACCACACCTTGAAACACACACAACACATGTGCACATGTACGCACTCAAACATACAGGCTCACACATACGGTACACAACGACACACACGCAAAAACATACAGCTACGGTAATAAGCATGCAAGCATAATGAATGGAGTTCAGCCTCGTATAAATCATCACTAGCTTGTCCCCCATTCCTCCCCCTCCCTCCCTCCCTCCCTCCCTCCCTCACTCCCTCACTCCCTCCCTCCCTCCCTCCCTCATTCATTTCCCTTATGTTCTCCCTTCTCCCAATCCCTTTTGTCCGCAAGAAACAAGGGCTGCAGCTTGAACTTCCTGCGCACGAAAGAAGAAACAGCAAATGCAACTCACTCCCTGCACAAACAAAAACGAAAACTTGCATGAGTTGCACAAGAAATCAAAATCAGCGAGTGCAGTTTCCTTGACGCACAAGAAACAAATTTACGCTCGCACTCACTCTTGCCGCAACTCACCGACACTAAAATACGTTCAACAGCTCTTAGACACACTCACTGAAAACACACACAAACCCTCGCACTCACCCTCGGGCTCGCGCTCACTCCGAACACCCCCACACACACAGCGCGTGCACCCTCAAACTGAAGGCGCACTCACTCACACCCGCACTCACGCTCACAGTTTCCCTCGCACTCACACCCACACGCATGCTTACACTTGAACTTGCACTCACAAACGCACTCACGCTTGCATTCGCCCTCGCCATCACACCCGCACTCACGTTCGCATTCGCCTGTATTTCTTTAAAACTCGACCAACCCTTGCCCTCTCCTTCTCTCTCTATCTATCTTTCTCTTCCCTCGCTCCTCACTCGCTCTCTTCCTCTCTCTCTCTCCCCATCTCCTATCTTCTATTCCTCTAAAATTTCTCACTCACCTGTGCCTACGATGCTCGCACACCGCGTTGCTGCTCCCCCGCCGATAAAAGGAGCCCTCGTATGTTAAATCCCTGAGGGGAGGGTGTGGGGAACGGGCGGGGGAGGGGAGGGTGAAAGTTATCAGCATACGCGCCTGACATCAGAAAACGCAGGGCATACGCAAAGGCGCCAGCGCCAGCGCCCAGCAGAGGCACCAGCGCCAGCGCCCAAAGGCGCCAGCGCCAGCGCCCAGCAGAGGCGCCAGCGCCAGCGCGCAAAGGCACCAGCGCCAGCGCGCAAAGGCGCCAGCGCCAGCGCCAGCGCCCAGCAGAGGCGCCAGCGCCAGCGCGCAAAGGCACCAGCGCCAGCGCGCATTGGCGCCAGCGCGCATGGCGCCAGCTCGTTACGCGCCAACGCGCATGGCGCCAGCGCACACTGCGCCAGCGCGTTAGGCGCCAGCGCACACGGCGCCAGCGCGCTACGCGCCAGCGCATACGGCGCCAGCGCGTTAGGCGCCAACGCGCATGGCGCCAGCGCGCATGGCGCCAGCGCGTTAGGCGCCTACGCGATGCAGAAAGGCGCTAGCGCGCTGCTAGCACGGCGCCCGCGTAGCAGCGCGCTGGCGGCTTGCGCGTTAGGTGCCGGCGCGTTGCAGAAAGGCGCCAGCGTGTTGCCGCATCATGCGCCAGCGCGCTGACGCAGCAAGGTGCCGATGCGCAAGCCACAAGCGCGTTGCTGCAGCAAGGCACCCGCGCGCAGCAAGGCATCAGCACGCAAGCTGCCAGCGCGCTGCCATAGCAGGGGGGATATCACTAATGTACTCACGAACGTGCCGTTTATCACGGGGGCTTGTAACGGTTGCTTGTCATGGGCGTATATCACGTGCGCCGGGCGTTTGTCACGGCGCAAGGCGATTTCCTGCAGTGGTGGCGAGTGCTTGTGAAGAGCTGAGGTACTACCTGTATCGTGAAATGGCAAGTCTCTTTACCTGCTGGAATGAGCTGCAGTGGTTTCTTGGGATGTGTTGGGGTTTGGTATCGAGCTGTTTGCACGTGTGAGCACGTGAAATTCAAGTGACTCAGCTCCAGAATATGACTAAAGCAAGAACTGAGACCCCTGTTCTCTACAGTTCCACAGGTGTAGAATCACTTATCACACTATAAGTAGTTGCACTAAATTAGTATCTTATGGTTATTACAACTATTAGATTATTATTGTTACTATCATACAATGTGTATATATTAAACATGTAAAGCTCAAAAATTTTATTTTAAAAACATTATTCGTAAAATGCGGACCAAAATGCATTATGTATGAGAACAAACAATTGTAGATGGGGAAATGACACATGAACATTAGTCACATCTTTGGCCGGTGTCATGTCTACATCGAGTGTTTAGCACCTACGCAACCCATACGACGTTGAACGTCGAGTCTTGTTTTTTTTTCCAGTCCCCTGAACACCAACCTACTCCCAGCGATGCAAAAATATCGCAGTACGATAATCAAGGCAGTGTGCCAAGCTTGCATTGAGTAAAATATTTGTCCAATATTGCAGATGACTGTGTAGTAATTCATATGGTCAGGAGAGGAATGTCATATCATATATAATTTGAACTCCCAAGCCTCATTACTTCTTGCATCCAACCAAACCCAAACCTGCTCACACCATCTCAAACTTCTACGATTCCAGGGACTTGCGGCTCTTCTTCTTGGTTTTCTTCTTTCTCTTGGACCCCTCCACAGCTTGTGAGCCATCATTGCCAGCCGCACCATCTCCCACCAACGAACTCTCCCCCTTTCCGTCGCTGCTTTCCCCACCACCACCTTCACCACCTGCCACATGCTGCTTCCCAACACCTTCCCCTGACGCCCCCACTCCTCCATCCTCCTCCCCGACTCCTCTTCTTCCTCCCTCTTCCTGACTGCCAGGTCCTTTTTCTCCATTCCCCGCACCAGTCTTGCTGCCATCACCCTTTGAATCACCGCTTGTTGCGCCCTCCGTATGCTCGCTGCTTCCTCCAGTCACATTCTCCTCTTCTCCCTGCTTCCCACTGCTCTCTTTTACCTTCTTCACCTTGCTTTTCGTCTTCTTTTTCTTCTTTGTCTTTCCCGTTGCCAAAGACTCCCCCACCTGGCTCTTGTCCCCTTCTTTTGTCTCTTGCTTCTCCACCTTCCCACCTCCTCCTGTTGTTTCTGCATCTTCTCTCTGTTCCACACTCTCATGACCCAATTGTGCCTTTGCTTTACCCACCGCATCCTTGCCCATGTCTACCTCACCACCTTTTCTCTCCTCTCCTTCTCCATCCCCATCCCCATGCTTACCACTCAATTTCTCCTCTCCCTTGTCCCTGCCTGCCCCCTCTCCGCCTGCCTCCTCTCCACCTGCACTCACTCCCTCTGCTCCCTTTGCCCTATCCCCATCACTGCCCTGTGTCTGCAACAAGCCAGCAGCACCCGTGACAGCAGCTGGTGTGGTGCTGGGACCTGCAGCACTTGCATCCCGCATTGCAATATCTGTGTCTTCTCTGCTTCTGCCGCTGCTGCTGCTTCCTTCTTTGCTGCTGCTGCTTGGCACGCTAGAAGCCACATCTTCATCCAACCCCTCTCCTCCAACCATCCCATCACCTGTCGCCTTAGAGGTCGTGCTCTTTTTTTTTTTTTTCTTCTTCTTCTTCTCCTTCTTATCCTTGAGCTTTTTCTTCTTGCCTTTCGTCACCTCCTCACCCCCTCCTTCCCCACCTTCATTCTCCCCACCAGCAGCACCATCAGCACCAGCACCAGCAGCAGAATCACCACCTTCATTAGCAGCCAAAGCCACGGACCCATCAGCTGCAGAGTTCTCCGCACTTTCCCCGCTCTCCTTCCCACTCTCTTTCACAGCACCAGCAACGGCGGCACCAGCAGCAACCCCACCAGCATTCTCTCTCTCATCACCACCTACCTCACCATCAGCACCTTGGTGCAAAGTAGTATCAGAGGAGTCCCCAGCGGTAACACTCGTGTTGCTGCGGACACTGCTGCTGCCATCTGCTGCTGCTGTTGCTGCTGCTGCTGTTGCTGCTGCACCAGCTTCCACTGCAGCTCCAGCCACAGAAGCATTTCCTGCTTCCCCTGCCCCGGCTCCTCCTCCTCCTGCTCCTCCCGCTTCTGCGCCTGCCTCTGCCCCTGCCTTTGCTGTTTCTCGTGGTTGCTCAGGTGTGGCTCCTGCCCCTGTCGTCACCTCCCTGATTGTTGCACCCACCACTTCCCGTATGCCCTTCTTGTCACCATTGACGTTATCTTCACTCCTCAAACCACTCCCGTCCGTAGTTTTCTCAGAGTCCACCTCCTCACCACCCCTTCCTCCCACCAAACCCACCTTGCCCCGTCTCTCCTCTCTATATTCCTCAACCCCTTCTTCCTTCTCCTCAGTCTCTTTATTTGCCCCATCACCACTCGACTCTTGCTCTTTCACACTCTCTCTTCCCACATCTTTCTTGGCTGGAGCATCACTTTCCCCTTCAGCATTCTCCTTCTCATCCTCCTTCCCCTCATTCTCCTTCTCATCCTCCTTCCCCTCATTCTCCTTCCCCTCATCCGTCTTCCCCCCACCTTCCATCCCCTCATCTTCCTTCTTAACAACCTCCCTCTCCTGCTCCTTCAGCCCATTTCTCTCCTCTTTCTCCTCCCCTTTTCCTTTCTCCCCCGCCTCCACCTTTTCTTCCTTCTTCTCCTCCCCTTCGTCCTCCTCCTTCTCCTCCCCCTTCCCCTCCTCCTCCTCCTTCACTCCTTCCTCTGTATCCTTCTCCAACTTCTCCCACCTCGCATCATCACCCGCTTCACTCTCTCCCTTCACCTCTCTGTCTCCTTCGCCTTCCTCCTCTCCCACAGCACTCGCTTCCTCTTGCCGCACCTTGCCCCTCGTACCAGCATCCACCAATGCACTACCCTGTTCAGAATCCGCATCTTCTTTCTTGCTGGCTCGTCCCTTCCCACTCTTCGTCACCACCATACTCAGACCCCCCTCCTTCCCATCCACCTGTTCCTGCCCTTTCTCTTTCGCTCCTGATTGCTGCCGATCCTTGCCATCCCCATCCTCCTGCTCCTCTCTCTTTCCATCCGCCTCCTTTCGGCCCACTTTGCCCGGTTCCCCCTCCTCTCCATCCTCCATATCCTCTGTTTCCCCTTTGCCGCGCCTCTCCCCGCCATTCTCCCTTTCCTCTCTCGCTTCACCTCCCACCTTCCCATCACCTTCCTCCACCTCTTCCTCTCCTCCACCCCTAGTCCTCCTCACCCTCTTAATCACACTCCCCTCTCCACTACCCTTCTCTTCTAGCTCTTCCCCTTGCTCTCCTCTCTCTCCCTCACCCTTCTTCCCCAACCACTTCGCACCTTCACCCACACTTTTCGTCTCTTCTTCCCCATCCTCCTCTCCTCTGCCTTTTCTCCTCCCCTCCGCCTCGCCCATTCCCACCTGCCCCTCCCGCGCCCCCAGAATCTCCACGACGGGGTCTGCTACAGCAGCCTGATCGCCTTCCTCCACAATCCTCGCCTCTCCACCCACCTCCACTCGCATGCGCTGCACGCCCAGCTGCTCCAAATCCTCCTCCCGTGCCACCTCCTTCCCCTCCTCCTTCTCCTCCTCCCTCCCCTCCTCCTTCTCCTCCTCCCTCCCCTCCTCCTTCTCCTCCTCCCTCCCCTCCTCCTTCTCCTCCCGTTCCCCTCCCTTCTCCCTTTCTCCCGTCTCTTCCTGCTCCTCTCTACCCCCTTCATCCGATTCTCTCCGTGCTTCTCGCTTAGTGCCAACCCCTACACTCTCGCCCTCCGCCAGTTCAACATCATCATCATCCCTTCGCCCTCTCTCCCTCCCTTCCTCACTCTCCTCAGGCCTACTCACTCTCTTCCTTCCACCTCGCTTCATAGATCTGTTACTCACAGCAGCATCCTCACCATCACCCTCCCTCCTCTCTCCCTCCTTCTCTTCCTCACTCTCTCCCCCGCTCTCTTCCTTGCTCTCTGCCTCACGATCTCCCTCACTGTCTCCTTCGCTCTCTCTGTCTCTTCCTTTCTTCCTCAGAGCACCATCCCTCACTGCACCATTCCCACCACGCCCACGACCGCCTTGCTCCCTCTCTCCCTCGCCATCACCCTCTTCTGCTTCCTCCGTCCCCTCCCTCACCTGCTCAACCCTCCCTTTCCCACTCTCCTCCTCTGATTCATCGTCCTGTGAATCTTTCTTCCTTTTCACCACTTCTTCCCTCTCCTCTCCTCCCTCACTCTCCCCAACCTCAGCACCGCGCTCCACACCTTCCTCTCTCACACGCTCCTGTCTCCCATTCACCTGCTTTCTTGAACTCTCCTCTCGCATTTCCCCCTCGCCAACTTCCGTTCCTTTCTCACTCTCGTCCTCTTCATCGGATTTCTCTCTTACCCTCTTTTCATCGCTTCTCCCTTCTTCATCCTCCATCTCTGCTTTCTCCACTTCCCCCACTGCATCCTTCCCTTCTTCCTCATCTTCCCTCACTTTCCCCACGTTGCTAGAATTCACCCGCTCTTCCTCGTCCTCTCCACCCTCCTGTCTTTCATCTCCCTTCACTCTTCCACCCGCTTTCCCCTTCTCTCGCCTCTCCCCACTTTCGTCTTCATTCACGCTTTCATCCTGTTCGCCTCCTTCCTTCTCTTTCATGCCTTCTTCTCTCTCTGTTTCCTCATCTGCTTCCATTCCCACTCTCCTGACTTTCTCTTTCCCTTCTCTCCTTCCCTTTCTGCTCTTACCCACACCATCTCCCCTCCCTTCCCCATCTACCTCTCTCCTCACCTCTTCACCTCCCTCTTCCTCCACCTCTCCTTCCTCATCCATTCGCCTTTTCCTTCCCTTCCTTCGCTCACCGGCACCCTTTCCTCTGTCCGTCTCTCCATCCTCGTCCTGTTCCTTCTCACCGTCCGCCCCCGCCCCCTCCTCCTCCTCGCCACCAGCATCTCGAATCATCTCATCCATTTCATCGAGCTGCTGCTCCAGTGCTGCCAAGTCCTTATCTCCCACCCCAGATGCCCCTCTTCCTCCTTTTCTCGCCCTTACCTTCTTCTTCACAGTACTACTCGAGCCAACCCGCCTCTTGTTCTTTCTCACACCGCCCTCACTGCCCTCCTCGCGCCTTCCCTCGCTTCCTCCCTCTCCCTCCAACTCATCTCGTACCTTTCTCCGCCGCCCCACCCTTCCCCTCCTCTTCCCTGCACCTGAAGACTCCACTTCTCCCACCTCCTCCTCCTCCTCCTCCTCCTCCACCTCCTCGCCTCGTCCACCTCGCTTCCCTCTCCTCCCACCCTCACTAACCTCTTCTTCCCCCTCACTTTCACCCGTACTACTCCTTCCTTTCCTCTTCTTGACCGCACTCTGCTCGTCTCCGTAGTCCTTGCCATACTCTTCCATCTCCCCTCTCCTCCTCCTCCCACTACCGCTTTCCTCCTCGTCCTCCACTCCCTCGTCTTCTAAAGCCCTAATTCTCGCTGGTTTTTTACCTCCTCTTTTGATTTCCCTTTCCTCTTCCACGTCTTCCCCTCTTGAAACTTCATCCTTCGCACCTCCACCCCTCCCTCCAAACCCTTCTCCATGCTCTACCCTGCTCTCTTCCTCACTCTCCTCACCGTCTCCCCTCTCTCCTTCATCCTCCACCACCTCTTCCACCTCCGCACCCCTGCGCCTACTCTCTTCGATCGCAATTGCCCTCCTCTCTTCTTCCTCCTGTCCATCCTCCTCCTTCATCTCTCCCCCCTCTCCTATATCCCCATCGTACATGTCACTTTCAACCTCCTCCACCACTCTCCTCTGTCCTTTCCTGCCCTCCTTTTCCACACCTCGCTTCTTTCTTTTCATGTGCCTCTCACCGCCTCCCATCCCCATTATAAGCTCATCCGCTTCTTCTACTCCTTGCATCCCTGAGCCATCGTTCTCACGCACATGATAGTCGCCCTCCTCATTCTCACCCTCCCTTTCCTCCACACTCTCTCTCATGCCCTCACCTCTTCTTTCTGCAAACCCGATCTTTCTTCTTCCCTCCCCCTCCCCCTCGTCTTCACCCTTCCCACGTCGCCCCCCACGTCCTATTCTTACCTTCCTAACTTCCCCTTCTCCCTCCCCATACCCACCCTCCCCCTCCTCATTTCGCTCATCTCCGTCCCGCTCCTCGCTCTCCTCTCTACCCTTCCCCCTCCACCCTCCCTCCTCTGCAATCTCCCTTCCTTTCTCTTCCCCATCTCCCTCTCTCGGCCCCCCGTCGACCCTCCCTCCTGCCTGCGCGTCATCAGGCTCAGGTACGTCCTCCCCCACATCAACCTCTGCCATTTCCCCCTCCCCCACACCACCCTCAAGGATCTCGCCCTCCCTCACACCCCTCGACATCTCTGCACGTGCCTTCACACTCTCTCTCCCCCCCTCAACATCCTCTCGATCCACTCTCTCCTCTTCTTCATGCGGTTGACCCTCCCTCTCTGTGTCTGCTCTCTCTCGATCCAACACGTCTTCCACCATGCTCCTCTCTGCATCATCGCCATAGTCGCCCTTGCCCAAGTCCCCTCCCATCGCCTCCTCCCCTGCGCCTTCCTCCCCCCCTCCCTCTCTCACTCGCTCCTCCCTCCCCTCCTCATCTCCGTCCCTCTCCCCTCGACCCGGCTCCCCTTCTCCCCTCCTTTCTTCCACTTCCCTTATCTCTTCCACCCTCGCCTCACCTCCCGCGTCTTCCACTCTCACTTCCTCCCTCGTTTCTACCATCGAAACATCCTGATCAGCACCTTTATTTCCATCCCTTCGCTCCTCCCACTCCCCAGCCACCTCTCTCCCGTCTCCTTGACCACTTCCTCGCATCCCCTCATCCCTTCCATACCCTTCCCTCTCATCCCCGTCCCTCCCCATACCCGGCCCCCCCTCCACTTCTCCCCCGACTGGCTCCCCCATATCCACACCTGCCTCCCCCGGTCTTCTTCCCCCACTCTCGTTCCCCGCGTCCCCTTCCCCGCCCACTCTAACGCTGCCGTCCGTCCTCGCCTCTCCTCCTACCGCCTCCCCGTCCCTATCACCAAGCTTCGGCTCGGGCATTCGAGACAGACTATTCTTATCTACCTCCGCCTGATGCCCCAGCAGCAGCCAATACACGCCCCCGGCAAGGCCTAGCACCAGCAGCGCCATGCACGCCAACGCGATCAGCCGCCTCCTATTGCTGAAATAGGTCAGAAAACCCCCTCTTGATACGTCGCTTCCCCCACGTCCCCGCCCCTCTATCCCCGTGCGCCCAGCCCCCATCCCCCGCACTGATATACCCCTTTCTCCCCTCCCCCCGGATAGTCCCTCCGCGTCTGGTATGTCATCCCAATCCGGCTCCCACCCCCCGCCCACATCATCCCACCCCCCAAATCCCTCCTTTCCCCCGCCGTCCCTCCCCTTCCCCGCGTTCCCCTGCGGGCCTGACCACCCCTTCCGCCCAGCCCCTCCCCCCAGCCCCACTCCTATCCCGCCCCCGCCTCCGGTCAGCCTACCACCACCTCCGCCAATGCTCGCTTGTCCTCCCCGCCCCCCCAGCTGCAGCGGGCGCGCGGAGGAATCTGGGCTGCGGCGGGGGGCCGCGGAAACAGGGTCCATTGGCGGAGATCCCCATGGGGAGGCGGATGTGGGGGAGGCCGGATCGGCAGAGGAAGCATACCTTGCGGGGGAAAGGGCAGAGCGTGAAGAAAGGGAAAAAGGTTGTAACAAGAAACGGATCGCATTATGTTTGCTGCATTTTTCTGGGTGAGAACCACATTCCAAGCAGCACGAGCCAATAACAGAGTCTCAGCAGGATGAGCGGCCGATGTGCAACACGGCGAGATCTACGAAGAGGAGGCGGAAACCAGAAGCTCGGCAAAGATCAGAGGGACCCAAGAGGCACGCGAAGGACTCTCAGGGTCAGCGCGGTCCTTCACAAGCCCCGGCCTTAGTTCAGAGGCCGACATCACGCAAAAACGCGGTCTTGATCGATGAAGGAATGGGTTAGGAATGAGACAGAGAGGATTAGACGTACTTGGCACGGCTGACCACCAGCTTGCTCTTCGGAGCTGGCTTTTTCGCCGCTCTGCGACCACCGTCCATCGAGAATCGAGTTACGCCTTAACTGATCAAGCGAATTCAGGACGATCGCACAACCAGCAGCTCGGCCTGCGGCGCCGTCGAGATCGTGCTACAGCCGAGCCCGAAACCGGATGATTGTCATGCGTCGCAAACCCATTGTATTGCCGGCATGCGCTTTGTCAGCAAAAGATTACTCTCACACGCTGAGAGGAAACACAAGCGGGAGAGCAGAGCATGATGGCGACCCCCAAGTATTTGGACGCAGGGGAGTAGGACGCGCAGATACTGAACAAGAGGCCCAAGGAGCAGAAGGAACGAGACGAAATCTAGGTGGTGGTGAAGATCCCAAGAGATGGGACAGGACGGGAGTAGGTTGAGGATGGATGGCGGGAAAACAGCACTTAGATGAGATCAGTGATCAGAAATGCTTTTTAATGAGGACGTTTTACAATACACTTTACATACAATACTTAGTCAAATCAAGCATCTGAAAGCATACATTAAGGCCACTTTATTTCATATCGTCATAGCTAGTAACCCAAGTCGGCAAAAGGAGTTCGGTAACAGTAAGTGCCTGGATAAATCAGATAAGGCTGTCAGCAACCATGGTCACCAATGGAATTTGTAGGCAGCTTAGGTCAAGTGCTAATAAGGTTGATAATTCAAACTATACCTATATGATCCTATATGTGAGGTGAATAAATTAATAACCCCGACTGAAAGGAAGAGAAGATGAAATTGATGCAGTGCATAGTAGCCCACATGAATGTCATAAGGTTGTGTTGCATATAACTTCTATATTCATTGCTTAGTACCATCTCATTATTCTGTCTTGGTCACTTGTAGTTGTTACAGTACATCCCAGAAAAAAAATTGTCCCGAAACGGGACCTCCCCGTCGTTTGTATTATCACAATTTCACCCACTTGAATGCAGACGCCTTTGTCCGAATCAGATTTTGGTCCTTGTGACGAAGAGGCAGTTCAAGATGGTTGCGGTGAGTCGAGAATTGCGACCGAAGTTTGTCTTTTATTCAGGAGGGAGCACTGAGAAGTTACTTTCAGATGTTAGATTTGTGTGTCGACTTATCTCTCTAGTTCTGGACTGGAAGGTATGGAGCAAAAGTTTTTTCCGCAGGGTTATCTGCCCGGAAAGATGTCTCACCACAGTTTTGACCTCTAGGGAATGCTGGTGATGGGCTGTCTGGCAAGTTTTTACCAAACGGCACCCTTCTACAAGCTTCAGCACCGTACTCTTCCTGCTTTCGGCCGTTCTGTCCTACATCCCCGCAGGTTGGGCAAGTGGCTGGGGGCGCTCTCTGTACCTGCCTTCGGCAGCTACCACGCCACACTTCATCTGTCTCCTGGTCCCTTTCCCCCTCCAGCCAGCCACCCCTTTTTCTCCCCCCTCACCTCGTGCCGTACATTTCGACAAGCCTCCATCCCCCACAAACCTCCTCAATTCACCTGAACTGACTTCACCATTCACTGAATCCACTGAACCGTATCTCACCTTTACTTACCAAGCCACCCTTGTGAGCTCATCAGACGAGGAATTTCGCCACCACCCACCCACACCAAGCTTCTGTGGCTCCAGCCTTCTGCTCTCTGTTGGGCTCAGCGAAATCATCGGATCCCTCCCTTACCCGTACCCCAACCCATCCAAGGGATTGCAAGAAATAAGCTATAGCTGGCTGTCTCAGCAATTTCTGTACCAGACCTGGCTTTCTTCGCCTTGACCGCGTGGAAGACGGGTCTGCTGTCGCGCTAAATCTGGTAAGTAATGAGGCTACGTTATCGAGATGGCGTGCATTACCTCGTGCAATGTGGATCCGTGTTAGGCCGTTCCTCCCGCCGACCGCCGTTGTTCTTGCGAATGCTTGACCGTGATTCAGAATGCGTTAACAGCACCGCGTGTGTCTTGTTCTGTTCTAGGTTGGTTTCCCATGTTGCACGCCTCTATTCCTGCATCTGTCTACTTTACCTCCACTGATGATTTAGTCACGGCTTACCTTCAAACCCACGCCTTTCTATGTTACCGCACTGCACCATTTTCGCCATTATTCGTCGCATACGTCCCTCGTAACATAACCTCGTCAAGGTTCTCTAATCTGTTGTTGTCTCGGCCTCATTATCACTTTCTTGTCGCCTTGTCGCCGTCCTCTGCACACCGTAGCGCCAGGCCCGGCGTCTGTTCCGAGTATCTTAGTAGCTGCGGCCACCCGTGCGGGGAGCAACGGCTGTAGCGGAGTCGGCGCGGCGCCATGGAGAGTTACGGCGACGACGACTACGAGGACACGTCCGGATCTGACAGGTGCGTCGCGCGGAGATTACGTTGTTCGTTCATTTTCGGTGATCTTGTTGTTTTTTTGTCTTGTCGTTGTTCGCATCGTGCCTCTGCGCATTGTCAGAGATAAGTGTTTCTAGTTCAGGGCCCCTCAGTATCCTGTCCAGGGGCGTCCGTGCCGCCGACATGGCTTCGCTAGAGAGGATGAGGATTATTGAATAATGATTTTTTTTTCACAAATACCGCTATCACAATGGTTTCGCCAGTATCCATAATCTCTCGCTGTTCCGTTGGTCTCGCGGCGACTTCCGATAAGTCTCGCGCCGTTTCAGAAGTCTCGCGTCTTTCCACGAAGTTTACGCCTTCCCTGACCACCTTGACGTTCAGAATCCCTTGCCATCTCTCCCCCGTCTCCATTCGCTTCTTGAAACCACTCATCATTTCTTTCTCTCGTTGCCGCTTCCTCCATTCCCTCCCCCCACATTCCCCTCGTCGCGCCTCCACCCAGGCATTCCCGCCAAACGCGCGTCAGCTACAGCGACTCGGAGCCGCCGTCGGCGCGCGGGCGCGGGCCTCAGGGCGCGCGGTACGAGGACGAAGGGGGAGAGGAGGGAGAGTATGAGGTGGAGGAAGCGGAGGAGGAGTACGACGATGGGCGCGGCAGCCACAGGGGAGGCGCGGATCCGCTCTACCACTCCGCGGAGTTCCCGCTTGGGGGAAACCCAGGTGCGGGGGGGAGGGGGGAGAGTTGGGTGGATGCGCAACGAAACGAAACTTCTAGAGAAAAGAACGCGAAATGATACGTAAGGGTCGTTCGGGAGGTGATTCGTAAGTCAGAGGAAGGAGGCAGCGAGGAGTGAAGATTGCGTGGAGTATGATCGCACTGTACATTGAGGCGACGAGACACGCGATGTCACTGTTACAATCATGCGACGGCTGTACAGCTATGCGATAGCACCGTTACAGTCGTGCGTTTCCCTTCCTCAACTTTCCCCTCCCCCTCCGCCCCTCCCTCTCCCCCACCGCCCGCGTCGCCCGTGCGCGCAGCGTCGGGCAGCGAGCGCGGCTCGCGAGCGAACTGGGACGCTTCCACAGACGACTCATACGCCGACCGCGGCCGCGACCACGACAGGGACCGCGATCGCGACGGCGACGCTGGCGACGATGGCGACGACGGCGACGACGGCGGCGACTACGGCGACCAGGGATCTCCGCGCTCGCAGGCCAGTTACCGCTCCGGGTCGTACAGGGAAGGCGGCAGCCGGTCGCAGCAGCGGCGGCGGGGGGGGCGGGACGAGGACGAGAGGTATGGGGACGAGGACGAGGAGTATTACGACGATGAGGGGGAGGATTACGGGCGCGCGGACACGTACAAGCGCGCGGGGTCGTTCTCGCGCACGGGCACGTTTTCGCGCACGATGACGTTCTTTGGGCGCAGCCTCACGCGCACGAACACCATGTCGAAGAACCTGTCGCGGAGCCTCACGCGCACCATCACGCGCCAGTATAAGTTCGAGACGGAGGAGGAAGGTGCGTGCGACGGGCAAGGGGCGACGTGGGAGGGGCGGGTGGTAGGAGGCATGGGCCGGGTTGGGGGGAAGTGGCGGTGTGAGAAGGGAGCTGCTGTGGCGTGGAGGGGATGGGATGGGCGGGGACAATAAGGGACGGGAGCCAGGGAATCGGTGGAGTGTATTATGCTCTGTCTGTTGCCAGCTTGTACTCGCTCTTCCCTTCTCTCTATCTGCGCTGCCGTTCCCTTCTCCCTCGTGCTCGCTCCTCCTGCTTCCCTCTTCCCTCCCCCCTGACAATCCCTCACCCTTCGCTCCTCCCCTCCTTACGCCTCCCTTTGCCCACCATTCCCTTCCCTCCCCTCCCCGCTTCTCCCCCCCTTCCCTCCCCTCTCCCCCGCTCCGCGCCCCTTCCCCCCCGGCAGTGGAGGAGGCGGCGGCGGCGATGGAGGAGGCGCGGCGGCAGCGGCTGGAGCGGGGAGACGGCGCGCTGGAGGACGCAACGACCAAGGTGGTGGAGAACACCACCAAGCTCGCGCGCACCATGACCATGGCCGCTGCTGCTCCCGTCGTCGCCGTGCTCGAAAACGAGCAAGTGCAGGTGCGCTGGCTGGAGGGGCAGTTGTTGGGACGTCGGGAGGAAGGGAAAGAGGGAGGAGGGAGAGAGGGACGGAGGGAAAGAGGGATGAGGGAGAGAGGGAGGGAAGGGCTGTCGTGCTGTTCTTTGGGGGTTCGAGAAGAGGGCTGGGGGATGGGGGAACGGATGTTGGAAAGGCATGCGTGTTGGACCTTTATGGTAGCTATGCCCAGAAATTGGGTGAACCGTTGCTTGGGAACAATTGCTCGGGCACATGTGATATGAGCACGCGTAGACACGTGCGCAAGGTGACTGATGGCTCAAGGGCTTGAAAGAACGTATCTAAGCCTGTGAAACGTGCACAGTCTAATACTGCTTCACAGATACTCTTGTAGCTCTGTTTCATACTCTTGCACCCGTTGCCTCTTGTCGTCCCTCCCCTGCGCTCCCCTGCCGCCACATCTCCCCACCACCTCACTCCCCACTGCCGATTCCCTCCCCTTCGTCCCCACAACCAGTTTCTTCCCAATCCCCCCATTTCTACTGAACCAAGTCCATTTCTACAAGGAGGGTGTTCTCACTATGCGTGTAGTCGTGGGCTGGGCTACAGGGTTCTGAAGAGAGATCCTTTCTCTCTTTCTCCCTCACTTG